TCATAATAAGTTTTGCTTATAAAATAGAACTTAACTGAAGAATCTTGCAAAAGAATTTGTATACAACATGTAAGATGATATTTCTTATGAGAGATCAGCATAGACTGGTAAATTAAGGCCCCCATAAAAAGTGTTAGCAATATCAGATGACAATGGTAATCAACCTAAAATAACAGAGATAAATTTGTTAGACTCTGATCAATCATATAAAAATTATATCCCCTCGGTAAGCTCAACTTATATGAGGGTAAATAACATCAAAGCAAAGGCTTCAAGTCATCAGCTGCAGCAAGGTTTCTGAAATGCCAACACATGATTAAGAGCCATAAAATAATATCACCTTATGTTAAAACTAAAATTCTATCTATTTCAAAGTGATGTGTTTAGATCCATCCATCTGATGGGAAACACTCCAAGTTGTAGTTACCTTTTGCTGATCCCTAATCAGTTCTGTTAGGAGTTCTTTTTCTGACAGTTGTAAAAGAATCATTTCTACAGCACGGACTTTTGTAATCAATCTTCACAATCATCCACAACAGATCACTTTTTATACTCTTTTAGCAGGTTATCATCATTGTATATATATCTTGTAAATACACAAACTGTTTCCATGGAGTTGTGTGATGCTTGTAACATTTAGAACATCTGATACATCACAGTCATTTGTAATGAATAATTAAAAGGTTCAAGTGTATTGTGGTTTATGTTTGAGATGAAAAAATATCTGAAAATAAACTCTACCTTCCTTAAAAAAAAAATAAAAAAAATAAAAAATATTGGTTGTGCATATTTAAGAAGGTTTAAACCATACAAATCTGTACTCTGTAAAATGAGCTGTGAACAGTAAACTCTACTTTAAATGTTTGATTTAGGTAAGGGGCATTATTTCATAGAACATAATGAACCCACCAATAAAGATGCAGTTTAGAAGTATTTGAAAGACAACTCAATAAATAAATGATGAACAATTGACAATAAAAAGCTTGTTTCATTAATTATTCATAATCAGTTTGAAATTAGACAAAGCCTGCTCTCTTTTTCAGAAATTAACCAATAATATAATGTTGCACAACACCTCATCAAATATTGACCAGGGGTCATTCTATGGAGTCATGATATTCATGACTCCATACTAAAACTGAAGTAGATGAAAATCTAGACATTTGTAAGTTCTGAATTGTCATGAATACAAGTAGATTAGACATGTCACGCATTAGTTGAATTTTGTAAAGCTGCTACTAATGGACAATAATTGTTCAATATCAGTTATAATCAATTGTAAAAAATGCAAGCAGAATAATCAAAACAGATGATACAAGCGAGCACTGAGTGATGTAATTTTCATCACCTTTAGTACATTCCCAATCATTTGAAATGTTATCATCCCCTCCCTCCTCAATTTCTCTTCAGGGACAACCATGAATCCCAAAAGATATTGAAACAATGCTGAGACAAAGTGAAGATGGGAGGGGTCATTGCTAGAGGAGGAAGCAAAGAGGTCCATCTGAGATTTACCCCTTATGGCAACAATTCAGTAAATTTATCAACTTACTATTTGAAGTAATGCTGCACCTCCACCCTCATTTAAAGGTTCAAGCTTTGAGGTTTGGGACAGTTTGGACAGCTTAGTCTAACAGGAGGAAAAAAAAACTGAGACAAGTGGATATATACATGTATCAGACTCTGGAGTGGCAAATACCTGCTATTTGTGCAAGGATTGTCAATCTTAGGTTTAAGTTATGATAAAGGGGGGAATATTTCAAAGAAGAAAGATCATTGTAGTTATAAACACAACAAAATTAAAATTTTATTAGAAATAAAACCAAAAAAAAATTTAGGCTTGAATTAAAAATTTGTAAGATGTTTAACATTAACACCTAACCTCTACTACCACTGGGTTCAAACCATTTGCTGTGTTAACACCTAACTTAACTGCAGGGTGGTAAACACTAAACCAAAGATTAGTAAAATTGCTATCCAATGGATAAATGTCCACATAGCAAAAGTACATTATTCTCAAGATAGTAACAGCCATCAGTATATCCATCCCTTACAATAATGATAATATGGCCAAAAGATTGGATACTTCCAAAGCACACAGCATGCATTATTTCCAGGATATGCATCATCCTGGAAAAATTCATTTCCAGAAGGTAACTTTTTACCTTTTTTTACCTTTTTAATTTTTGTTCAACAGACATTTGTAGTTGTTAAACTTGTACATTTTGTAATAATGAGATGAAAACTATACCTGTGAGCTTTGTGCACCGGGAGAGAATTCCCTTTCTTCAAACTTTGCAATTTCATTTATAAGCTCTCTGCAAATAGGTGAAAAACAAATGATGATTTAAATCTGAAGATTAAAGAGCCATTAAATGAACATACTCCTTACCTATTTTCCAGTTCTGATATGTCAGCCTGTAGCTTCAAATGCCATTTCTCAGCTTGACTTAACACTTGCCTCAGGAGAAGAACATTGGTGTGTGCAGCGTTAATGAGTTCAGATTCAACTTCTCCTCTAACCACTGCACAAAGGCCATCTAACATGTCTGTCACTTCATCAAGAGTGTATGTGTCTTCTACAAGTCTGTGTAAGCAATCATTCTATGGTATCAATCCCTTTTTTCGGTCTGGATTAATCATTGGCTAAAGGATAAATTTCAGGTTAAAAGTAAGTCAATTAAAAATAAATGGCCTGAAAGATAAACAATATCAAAATAATAAGTTACCGGTGCTCACTGTGGTAATAATTCTTCCCTCATAGGACTTATTTGCCTGCTTTTCATTCCCTCTATCAACCCTCCCTCTCCCACTTTCTAAAATCCCATGCACACTAACTCATCCTGGTAAAATTAGGAGATAAAAAAACAAATTTGAAATGAGGTTCTAAATAATTGAAATATATACCATAAAACTTTCAACTTTAAAGTGGCAGGAGATAAACTAATGAGCTATTTTCAGGTATGGCCTTGTACTCCAGCCCAGGAACTTTACAGTACGAGGTCTGTGTATAAACGTTTGCTACTTCCTCAAACCCTGACCATTCCACTGATAGTAAATATATCTTATTAGACATTTTGGTGTGTAGTATTGCTAAATATAGTCAAAACACAAACTGCAAGTAAAAATATTCAGTGATACTACACACCATGACGTCTAATCAGTTTTTAATGTCCGACTGCTTTTTTTCTGTTGAGTCTTTCTGCTCATTTCTCATAAAGTGGGAAAAGCAAAGTGGATAGAGAAGCGTAGCATGCACAGCTGACTGGTTAAACAAGTTTTTTTTATTGTACAGAATAACCAATGGTCCAAATAACTGTACAATATTGCAGGATTTGTACTCTACTGGCGCATTATTTGTACTCTCCTTTGTGCAGTTGGATAATAAGATACATTCCAGGTGCAGTTAGTTGTAATGAGACTAGGAGTGACACAATACTGTCTACATCATACCTGCTGTCTTTTAGTTCCTCAAAAGATGCATCTATTCCCCTGAGTCTCTGTCCTCGGCCATAACGTGCAAATCTAAGGTAGTTTACCACAATTTGTTGATGATGCTCATTTAATCCAATGTCCTATAACAGAACAGTGATCAATGAGATTGAAGTAAAAAAAAATCCTTAATAATTTTCGCATATTCTTGAGAATGTTTACGACTTTGTTATCAATCAAGTATTTAGATAACAAAAATTAATAATTTCGCGCGTCATTTTCGCGTCATTGTCCAAATAATTAAAATGACATCAAAATTAATCAGTGAGCTTAAGCTCATGTGCGAAATATTACATGAAGCCCTGAAGAGATCATCAGATAGGTGCTGTAAATGAAAGTAATCAGAGAATTTATTAATTCAAAATAAATTGTCATAATAATGACAGCTGTAAATCGGAAACTATAGGAGGACTAAATTCGGTTTAAAACCCAGTAAACAAAGCTACCAAGAAACAGCCACAGGATAAAACTAAGCATTTGCGATTTGAAAAGAGGAAGATAAATTTGAGGAAAGTGAGAGCGAGTTTAGCCGCCTCAAGCGTACAGACAACAAACATCTGGAGACAAACTCACCATGGCCAACTTTAGATTTTGAAGAAAATTATTTTCTTCTTCGTCGAATTATATTTCCAACCTAAGGATGTTTCGACCACAATAAACAAAACGAGAGGACGGTCAATTTCTCTGTCATCAAATTTGATACCGGGGACGCGAGAGTCCGGCAGCCATGGCAAACTAATTATACAGTAGCCAGGCATTTAACAAAATACCAGGCTACTAAGCTGTGGGCGTCTCCTTTATGCCGTGTCGGTATGGCGAGGCAAATTTTCACCACTACCTACTGGAAGGATGGTGAATGTTTCTTTTAGTACATACTAAAATAGTGATTTTAACTCATATATTCCCGTAACGATTACAATATTTTCGGCAAATCTTGCACGCGTTGTTCGGAGGTGAAGGATATTTGGAGTGTAGCGCGCCTTTTAACGCTATCCATTCTTTTAGTATGTAACAAAAGTGAGACATCGGGCGGATGCGTTCGAAATAAGACGATGGCGTCCAGAATCAGACGGTACCGTATAAAATTGGACGGAAGCGTCCGAAATCAGACGAAACCATCCGAAAATGGCGGAAGCGTCGGATATCAGACGGACGCGAACGACATCGGACAGTTGCGTTTGAAATCAAACAATGGTGACCGAAAATGGAAGGAAGAGCCCGAAACTGGACGGAACTGATCGAAATGGGACAATAATAACGTCCAAAAGCGGACGAAAGAAAAAGAAATTTAGCGTAATTGTCTAAAATTTGTCTCTTGAGTGCATCGAAGATCGGACGCACGTGCCTGAAATAGATTGGAAGTGTCCAAAATGGGATAATAGCGTCTGAAATGGGACAGAAATGAGTGTAGAGAGGGGGAGGGGGAAGGTGGGAGAGATAAAAGGAACTACATTATCTTCCTTAAAATCAGTAAATGATTAACGAACTTAAGAAAAAGAGAAACCTGATAAAAGTGCAACCCTTTTTATTAAGAAAGATTATGATTATCTAAGAGTTAAAACATAAAGTGATTATTTTCTTTCAGATTTTTGACCTTCTACAGGTAACCAGATGTTCTGGGAGAACTTGCACAAGTGCAAATCACATATTAAAGGATTGTAATGCAGCCATGCATTTGAACATCTAGGAGGATTGGTATGAAAACTAAATCAACTGAACATGTTCTTTATCACTGATTTTCTAGCCTTAAGCAATTGACAAAGGAATGTGTTACATGTGTTGGCTAACAAAGAAAAGAAGTAGTACATCTACAAACAAGACAAAATATGCAATCAAATAATTTATCATCTCTTATCATCATCTACTATTTATTGCTAGTTTTGTTCTCTTTGACAATATCATTCCCTAATCACATCACAACATTGTTGGCAATTCTTTTAAAAACTAACAGCCTGTTACAACTACTGGTACATCTGTTTAATTGATAAAGACTAGTTAAGAACCCTGCACTACAATGGACTATCTACCTTTTCTTTGACACTGAAACAATTTGAAACCACTAAAAAGAAAATTATTTACCAATTCTTCTGACAAACTACAAAGTTTCCATGCAAAGACACCTCTAAAATAATTGCTTGTTCCACATTTACTTTCTGCCACAGATAAAGGTATGAAAGAAACAAGAGTGATTTAAAAACAATAGCCCAATTTTGTGCAATGAAATAATGTCTATGGATATATATTGCAACATATTTTTGCATTTAATAGTGGCCTTTTTCTTATTTAGCCACAGGATGACAGGTTGGCACTTCTCTTCTGAAGTGTGCGCAGACAGGTTACTAGGTTACTATTGATGTGCACTGGGTTACCACTCATGCACAGCCTTCTCAGCAACAAACTCCCCATGAGGTTTGCCAACATTTGGTGGCAAGAGGGCAAGGTAGACAGGTGTTTCTGCACCTGAAAAAGTAGACAAGTCCAATTTACTTAATCCAAAAAATTAATTGCATGTTATAAATTGAAGAATCAGAGAAACAGTAATGGTATGTTACCCAGTTTGTGGCCAAAAAAACTTCTGTTGATTACTTCCTTTTTGATTTTCCATACAGAAAAATGTTAGCAAAGAAACCTGAATAATTTTGCTATTTATTGATAGTTTAAGCAGGCTTTAGTCAAGAAAGGTTCATAAAAAGTAACAGTTCAGCTGCTACACTATTCAATACAAACAAAAGTTACAGCATCTAAACAAATGGCTCACTTGGAAGGAAATATCCCACGAGACTAAACAATTTTGTGAAAATTGTTAACTAAAGATATTACAAAAGGGATCAACATGGAAACTAAAAATTAAAACTGAAATTAAAAATGGCCAAAAGCAAGGCAATATACTGGACAGCTTTTTTTACCTTAATAAAAGAGAAATTTAATTGCCACGAGATCTTTGTTGAATACTTACCCTCATCAGGACTTTTGGGAGCCTTTGATCCAGCCATATCAGTCCGCACCCATCCAGGACAACACTACTCCAACCCAAAAATAAATTAATAGAAAGATTAATCAATCTTAATCAATGGTCACACTGAATCAAAAGCAGAGAAAATAATCAGTGAAATCTGCTCACAGCATTTAATAAAATGTCCTCCCTTGGATCTGTTGTCAATGCCCTCGCCTGTATCTTGCTAAGAGCTGTCAAACCTATTTTTGATGTACCATAAGCTGTGGATCAAAAGCACTCAATCATCATATAGAAGATTCTCAAGCATACCAATACATAATGATAAGGAAAGTGAGTGGAGTGCATAAAGGGTTTCTAAAGGCTAGTTACCCTCATCTGGAGTTTTGTAAATGTGAATAACTTGCACTGCTGACAACCAGTATAATTGCATTTGTTACACCCATTTTGAAATCACCGGTGGTCCCTGTAATCTGATTGGCTCTAATTGATGCAATTTATTCATGAATCGCACCATTTTTTTCTTTAAATTGCATATTTTTCCCAGCCAATGAGGAGGCTACACTAACAACAAAAAAACCAATCGGATTTCAAGGCTTGTTTAAAGTAGCCAATCAAATTGCAGGAAAATGAAAGACAAAGAGTATCATGTGGCAAATTTGCAACTTTTTTTCCAAAACTATTACTTTTTTCCCCCCCAAAAATGGATGAATTTAATTTCAGACTGGCTCAGTACTGCATCAATAAAATATTTGAACTGACCAAGTCCTGTACTTGGGTGATTTCAAAATGGATGCAATGAAGTGGTAATTGAACCTCGTGTCATGTAGTTTTGGTCTGAAATCATACTTGTGATTTCAAATCGAACTTGCACTGTGCGCTTGTTCTATTTGGAAATCATGCGTATGATTTCAGCCCAAATTGCACCCCACTCAGTTCAATTACCATTATTAATCACTATTGATTTCAAACTAGATGTAATATATCAAGAAGAATGAAAGAGAATACAGCATGACTCCACAATATCTCACCTGAGTTGGACCATCCTTTCTGCTTATGGACGCCATCCTTTACATCTCTAAAGAGCAATAATGAGTTAAATGTATTTTAATCTCTCAATTCAAAGTTGACAAATATGATAATTTTCCATAAACCATACTTCCTTGAATAAGTGCCTGCAGTCTGATAAGTGCCCTTCCCTTTGGCCATAATATCAAATAAAAACACCTCTCTCAAATAAGTGCCTGCCTCTTCCTTCACTTTCTAAAATAACAGGGATGCAAGGAAAACCTGCCTCTACTACTACTATAATCATAACTTTTAAGGCTTCCACCACTACGGAATCAGAAAAGGTTTCAAATTTTTTTAATTTTCCCACCCTTCAATGAGTGCTCTCCTTCTAATAAGTACTGAAATTATGACTAGGTGCTTGGGCACTTACTCAAGGAAATTCTATATGCAAAGAAAAATGTAAGATGATTAAAATAATCCTCAAAGTTAGATACTGAGCTTCTAAGGTAGAGTCAGTAGGAAAGTTACATATCAAACAAACTTACTGCACAAACTGATCCAGCAAGGAAATAAGGCCTTCTTCAGTCAAAGTTGGAGAAGTAAACTTCTCTTGAATTTCTTTTGACACCTGAGCCAAACGTCCAGCCCTGGAGGACACATTCACTACCCTTGAAAATAAGAATTCATATCAAGAATAATAAGTTATCCCAAAAAAAAACAGCTCACACAGAATTGATTTGTAATATCAGACCAACTTTGTTGTTGTCCTGACAACAAAATTTTCTGCAAGATTTGGCAAACTATGGTTGAAAGAAGTGTGTTGTAATAAAATTTGGTTAGATTCACAACATTATTACTTCATGAATATGCTTCTAGCAATTAACTCTTTCACTCCTAAATTCTCCATATCAATTCTCCTTACTGTCTGGCACTCATTATTTCTGATATCAGTTATGAGAACTCTGTTAATATAATTAAAGTAATCACCTCTAGTCTATATTTGTCTTTAATCTCATCACCTGTCTACATAAAAGTGTACTTCTTGGTTGAACCTGAGAGTGAAAGGGCTTACATAAAGCAAAAGAGATGTTACCTTGCATGTGGTCTCAAAAGAGGGAAAAGTGCACGGCAGACGTCAAGAGTGCCCTGAAAGTTTGTGCGCAGAGTCACTTCAACCTGTTCTGTAAATGGAGCTGTAGATGCCATCTGCAAAAAAAAAAATAGCAATTATCGTAATAAACACATGAGCATATGGCCTGGGGCTTGCTTTATTGAAAAACAGTAAAAATCACAATTTGAGGGCTGTGCAAGATGAAACCAGTAGAGCTGCTAAAAGTGTCATAGCTCAATTTATGGAAAGGTGAGAAGAAAGAGAAAAGTAAAAATGAAGAAAGAGGTAAAGTAGCAGTCATAGAGTATATTGTTTGACTGAGAAAGGTTGGGTTGGATAACATGGCCAAAATTTTTCCTGTCTGGCTTTTCCACTCTGGTGAAATGTTGAAAGTAACATCGTCATCATGTACAAAAGTTAAAATGATTAACTTAAAACACCAAATAAAAGCCCCTGTATCATCCTTCAAATTGAAAACTATAGGAAAACAAAAGGCATCAACAGACCTTGTAGGCTATTGCTGCATTGTTAACAAGAACATCAATGCCACCATACTGTTCCTGAACGAACTTTCTAAACTTTTCAATGCTTTCTAATGAAATAATGTCTAACTGGTGAAATGACACTGTGAGTCCTTCACCACTTAATTGTTTGACAGCCTCCTTGCCTCTTTGCTCATCTCGTGCTGTTAAAGAAGAAATGACAAAACAATACCATTTGAATCTTATAGCCAACCACATCAAGGCTAAACTGACCAATCAGCTCACATCAGATTACCAAAGCATTGCTGTCTAAAAGTGTACCTGTCAAAATTACTGTTCCTGGGAATTCTTTGCAGAGTCTTCGAACAATAGCATAACCTATGCCTTTATTGGCACCAGTAACCTACAACATTGGAAATAAAGAAAAATGTCAATTATTGGATTACTAATTGATCCAATACCAAATTCTCTAGACTAACATAATAAGAATAATTTGGCAGACAGTAAGGAGAATTACTTATGAGATCTTGGGAGTTGAAGGGTTAAACTGATGGATTCATAAACCAACCTCCACCCTTCCAACTTAAAGAGTCCCTTGCAATTAATTGTAGCTGTACTGTTATCACTCAAAGCTAGAATTAACAGCTAAATATTTTTTAGGAGGAAAATTGCAAGGTAAATAAACATCTAAAATCGAGAATGACACTTAAAGAAATTATTCGATTTTCAGTTTTGTTGAATTCAGTTCCCACATGGTTCTCGTCTTAAAATACCAAAGTTGCACATAAAAACATAAACGATAAGAATACTGAAACTTGGGCTCTGAAGCGTGGTCCCTGTCGACTGAAATATCTTGAGTGTAGCACAAAACACGAACTCAGTCGGTAACATATCAGGTATGCAGCTAGGTTTTTGCACGATTGACATCATCGCAAACAGTACCCTGGTCTATCATCAAGGGGCGCGCATCTACCTAAGTTTTGCACTTAGCTGCATAGGTGGCCATGATTTGAGGAGAAATACTGAAATTCTAAAGTTAAATGAGCTTACCACTGCAACTTTTGAGGAAGACATGTCGACCACTTTGTTTCGTCAAGGTGATGTGTGAAACTGCCTAAAGACTGGGTACCATTTGTGCAGCATCGGTCGCAAAAAGGCAAAAAAAAAGGGAGGGGTGAGAGGATAGATAGTTTGGTCTGCCTTTCTTTTCAATGAGACAAATGCCTTGTTCTACTTGTGATTTCTAAGATTTATTTGCTAACGTTGTTATAAGAAGAGTTACAAATGCAATGGGGAACTTTTCTTTTTTTAACCACAACCACTGTTAACTAAGTCCTAACCGGTAAGTACTAAAACATGGAACGACCCAAAACCACCTAAAACCACCTACAACCTACACCTCAAAAATTTCAACAACGACCTACAACCACCTCAAAAACATCTACAGCCACTCGAAAACTATCTAAAACTATCTAAAACAAAGCATAAATGTCTTAAATAAGGCGAAACGACAACATGTCACGTACATGAAATACGAGAATGGAACGAAACCTCCACCTCCCCCTGAAATCTTACTCTCCCTGGTCCCATGTATAATCAACCATCTCACGAAATGAAATGCGAGAGCATGCCAATTATATTTTTTATAATTCGGTCGATATCCTATAATAGGTCGTTGTTGAAATTTTCGAGGTGGTTGTAGATGGTTGTAGGTGGTTTTAGGTGGTTTTAGGTCGTTCCATGTTTTAGTACCTCCCTGTCCTAACCAACCATCTCGATCCCCATTTGTGCTATTAGTGTCCAATCCTTTTTTGAGTGAACCTAGAAAAAGTCTCCAAACATGCGAGTTGCAGTTGTGAGTAGTGATTCTTTTTAACTCTTTACATAAGGAAATCTTTTCGGCAATTCAGTTTGATTCGTTAAGTTTAAAGCCTTCTCGAGAATCTCATTTTTTGTTGATAGTATTCTAAACTACAAAACACGGAGTTTCATTCAATCTGCAGGTTACCGGTGCTAACAAGGGAATAGGATTTGCTATAGTCAAAAAGTTGTGTATAGAATTTTCTGGAACTGTTATTTTAACAGGTGATCAGTTCTTCTTAAAATAACCTTAACCTAAACAAAATAATAATTTCTTGACCTTTTCACTCCCAAGATCTAATTTTTAGTAATTCTCCTTACTGTCGGCCATACAATTCCTATAATGTTCATTTGGAGGATGTGGTATTGGATCGACTAACAATCCCTTAGGTGATATTGTAAGGAGAAAGTCTCTCTTGGTCATTCATGGGAGTGAAAAGGGTTAATTAGGGAATGGAAAGTAAATAATGGGCACTTTTCATTTGGTTGGTTCCTAAACATTCTTTTGGCTTTTGCACAACTGCATTATACTCTGTAAATCCAGATGAAGGGCAACATTGCCCACAGAGAAAAAAAATTTTAGGTCCACTGGTTTTCTGTTATCTGATGGTTTTTAGGGGTGATCAGTCCACAGGACACCCAGCTCACGTACTGGAGGCTGAGGATTCTCCTGTATGGACATTTTTTTAAGATTTACTGCCGGGGGGAGGAGGGGGGGCATTATGTGACATGCTGAGGCTGGTGCTAAGGAGATAAGAGGATGAGGGAAAGTTTGTTGTTTGGTCTCATTCATGAGACTCCTTATACTTGGTAACACCTGATGTGGATCAGAGTAGCAACCCAATCTGATGCATACAGTACTTCACTTTAACAAGATTTCCAGCCAAAAATCAGAAACCTAATTTTTATGTCAATCTATAATCCTTACCTGCAGAAGGTTTTGTATCATTTTGACTGTCTGCGAACTTTGCTTTTAGCAAGGGATGAACAAAGAGGACTGGAAGCTGTCAAACAACTAAGCACTGAAGGTGCTTCACCTGTATTTCATCAGTTGGATATTGTTTCACTAGAAAGCATTGAGAGGATAAAGAAACATCTCATGGAGCAATATGGTGGATTGGATCTTCTTGTAAATAATGCCGGGATAGCTTTTAAGGTGGGTTGAAACAAGTGTTAACCCTAAAACTCCTACAAATGATCAAGACAGAATTTTTCCTTCCCATATCAATAGAATATCAAGTGGACAAGTGATGAGAAATAAAGGAAAATATTATTACTTATAAGTAAATTATAAGTTGATCAAATACCAAATTCTCTGAAGAAAAATCATAAGAATTGTATGGTATACAGTAAGGAGAAGTACTAATGAGATCTTAGGAGTGATAGGGTTAGGTTGTGAGAGGAAATACTTGTGAATCAAGCTCAGAATTATTGTGTATCACATATATTTCAGCATTGGTGCCTGTAAAGCATCTATACCCAAGGACATATCATAAGCTTGGTATTAAGCTATAATGCTAGATGTTAAATTCCCTTTACACCCTAATATTCTACAGTATTGACATGGAGAATTTTTTTTATGATCTAGAGCCCCTTTCATAAGTGATCATTACCTTTATTCTCATGACCTAAATGCTTGATTAAGTAGCAGCTCTGTAAGGAGAAATAAGATGTTAATCACTCCGAGGGATAAAAGGGTTATCCTATGTCCCTACATCAACTGTTAAAAAACTGATGTCCCTCTTAGATAAATCTACTGAAAAGTGAAGTATTGATATTTGTTTTTTTTGTTTTTGAATATTAATTAGCGGGCATCCACAGTTCCTTTTCCAAAACAAGCTGAAGTGACTATCCAGACAAACTTTCATGGTACGCTTAATGTGTGCAGAGCACTGTTACCAATTTTAAAACCACATGCAAGGTTAGTAAGGATCATAAGCTCCCATGCAGAAAGGAAACCAATGGTGCTTTGCTTGGTTGGTTTAAGATACATTTATCAAATTATTTACTGCTGTTAGCCTCCTTTAACCTCTATCAAACAACAGAATAAGACAATTTGCATCTTTCAATATTGCATGTCACTCCTGAAAATTCTACGCTCTATTTGAATAATTATCTACTCAGACACATCATGCTTTTGAAATTGCTGATCCCAGTTAAGTATGTTGGATGCGCTCAAACATGAAGTTAAGAATGGCCATTGCTTGCCATAGAGGAGGGAGAGGGAGGGGGTGTTACATTTTTTTACCACAAGAAATTGGGACAGGGCATAGAAAGACTGCACTTGATAGAAAAGAGATTGCACCAGCCCTCCCCTCCCCTCCCCTCCCCTCCCCTTTCCATCTAACAGTTTGTCCCCATTGTAAATATTGAAAATTGTCCTTCATTGTGTACTGTCAATCACATGTCAGTAAATGTTAAGTTACTTCCAGGTCTTTCAGCATTATCAATACCAAGGGAGTATCTTTGCTTTGATTTTCCAGATTGGTGAATATTTCCTCCCATTTAGGGGGTTTGGCTCAACTATCAGAAGACCTTCAGAAGAAGTTCTCTTCTCCAACATTAACTGAAGAAAATCTTGCTAATTTGATGGATCAGTTTGTTAAGTAAGTTCTTGATCAATGGATCTATTAATTTGCTTTATCAAACAAGAACTTAAAGTGAATGTGCTATGTGGTAACCATTGTGTTCTCAATTTGTATACTGTAACAAAAGTTAACTGTGATAAAATGTTTCTTTACTTTGGTAATTAAAATCTGGCTTTTAGCTTTTTGTCCATAATGGCATGTACTCAACAAACAAATGTTGTTGATAAGAATTAGAATTCATTTGAATTAAGGAATACAATTTTGCAAGTGTTACAAATGGCAAACATAGTCACGACAAGCAGAATGAAATCTATATATTACCACAGGACATTTGTTTCTTGTAGTGAATATTTCTCTTTTTTTCCACAATATATTTCCAGAGATGCGAAGGATGGTACACACTCACAGAAGGGATGGTTAACCTCTGGTAAAGCAAACTCTTAAACAGTATTTTAAGTCTCTATGTAATAATTGATAACAACTGGGCATTCCTGAATCCAATTTTCTTTCTGCCTTCCAGCCTATGGAATGTCCCATATAGGAATAATTGCTTTAACCAAGATTCTAGCAAGGAATACATTACAAGATTCTAGAGAGGACATTCTTATCAATGCTGTAAGTGATTTGAAATACAATCATCATCATCATCATGTAATTTGCAATTGACAATTAATTTACAGACATCTTAATTTACAATGTTTATTTCCTTTGTCAATTCCTGTGTCTTTTTCATAATCGACTTGGTGTGACCTTCCACTCCCCCCATCCTGACAATGACAACCACATAGTTTTAACCCTTTACAAATTATCTATATTCTCCAAACTGTTCCCTATACATTCCCTTTGGTGATGACAAGGGGAATTTTGTAAATAATCTAAGATTTTCAATTATTTCTTTTATTCTCGTGATCTTAATAAAGATTCAGCAGTATTGCTGCAAGGCAAAGTCAGATGCTGGTTACTTTGAGGTTCTAAAGGCTAATATAAGATAGTTTACAAATGATTGTGGCAGGAAAAATTAAAATTAATGAAAATTGAATTGAATGTTTGCTATGTTAATTGTTGAGGTTGGGATGGATGCCTGAAGTTAGTAAAACGAAACCAATGGGAACATTTTACACATTTACATATAAAGGACACATGAAATTGACAGTTTTCGTCCTGGATGTAAACTCAGTGTCGATTTTTTATGAAGTTATACTATAGTAGTGTTGAAATGATTTTCAGTTTCCTTGCAGTGTTTTTTTTTGTGTGTGTGAGCTTTTGTTACCTTTTGTTCTTTAACCTTTAACTCACATCAGTGACCAAGACAGAATTACAGCATCAAAACAATATCAAACAGTTTAGTGATGAGAATAAAGACAAATATAATCCAGGAGATTTTTAGTTGACCCAATACCAAATTCTCTGAATCACCAAGATCTTCCAGTGAGAGGGTTAAGTTGTTGACATCAGTGAGGTTTGTGCTCATCAATTTCTAAAAAATGTTTTTTGTTATTCTGCAGTGTGATCCTGGCTGGGTACGCACAGACATGGCTGGACCAAAAGCAACAAAATCTCCCAAGGAAGGTACAACTGAATTTTTATTTTCCCCACATCTACCTCCTCTAGTTATCTTACATGTGTATTGAGTACTTTTTTCATGCCCTCACTTGTTGAAATTGAAGGTGATCTATGCCTTTTTTTCATTTACATCACAAACAAACAATCCTTTGGGAATTAATTTCACCACCAACTGAAAGTTTTTCATGCTTACTGTGTTGAATGATAATGCTTTTCCATTGATAAAATAATTCAACCATTATCCATAATTGATTTGTTTTTAAGGTGCAGAGACTCCAGTTTATGCTGCTTTGCTTCCAATAAATGTTGGCAAACCACATGGTGAATTCCTCAAAGAAAAAATGATTCAGGAATGGGAGGTGATGTCAACAAGATCTCATGCCTCAGAAGCTGAGGAGAGACTCAAGAAGGAACAAAAATAGTTCTTAGCTCTTGACATCTCATGATAAAACTTTTTCCTTTGGCTCACTTGTTACTTTAGTACAGATGAAGAGTATCGTCAGTAAAATTAGTTTGGGATGTTGTGGTAATTCAATCAACTCATGGAGATAAAAGTGACTGTTTGTCTGAGTGATGGTGATGAATAGATGGTGGAGGTGGTTACTTTATTTACGAAAGAAGTACCACTGTTTCTCAGCCCCAGCATGGTATCTGTTGTGAAAATAAAGGTCACAAGCCCTAGGAAAACATAGTGGCAGAGATTTTGTAAAAAGAGGGACTCTCAGAGATGGATGCATGAGAGGAGTTGTGTCCAGTTGCTAAAGATAGGGGCAGATGGGAGGGGACGCATGGGAGCTTTGTGGACAACTGACCACAAAGAAGGAAGATTGAAAGGATTTGATGGCAGATTAATGATTATTTGGAAATAAGTGAATGGTAGGAAGTATTGTCCCCATCAACAGTGGTTGGCAAGGAAAATGAACCTGGCCAGACTTGAATTTTTAGACCCTGAAAAGGAATGCAGTTCTTTTCTCAAGTTGTCAAAGGGTTGGTTTTGGGATTTGGAGAATGGTAGACTTCTCTTCCCACAATGTCTTTTTATAAAAAAGATATACATGTACTTATAAATATAACAAGTGAAAATTAGTTCTGAATCATCACTTGTCACAAAAAATCAACTATTATTAATGGTTAATTTGATAACTGATTACAGCTATGCACACTATTTATTGGTTGTTTAGTTAAGTGTGTTACACTCAGCAGTTTGAAGCAAGTCAAAGTCATAACCAACTTTTTGCATGAATCACTTACAATGTATTTGACAAAGTTAAGTAAATTTAAAGTAAAACAATGCATCACTGAGTGTAAAAAATGCTTAGTGGTAATGCATATACATGGATCACAATAGATGAAAAATGAATGATGTTTGACATCACTTCATATCTCATAAACGTGCCTAAAATATCTATATCTTAATATCAGAAATAATCTAACACCTTCTAAGAAGGTTACTATAAACATCTTAATAATACAGTGTGTTAAAAAACCTATTCTTAGTGAGTAGAAAATCATCCATCAGTGAACTGATATGACAAGACTAATTTTCAAGATGCTAGGAAAATATCAACCCTGTCCCCCTTTGGGATTCGCACTGTAGTTTTTGAGACTTCACTCATTTACACTCCAAAAAATTCCTGCCAAAATGTATAAGTTTGCCTTATTGCATCTCCAAAGGGTAGGTATGTGTGATTTTTGTTTTCTTGTCATCAGTTTGTAGGGTGAGATACTGAGTAAGTTATACACTAATGATACCCATGACTTGAGAGGTTAATGGTTCCCAGCTAAGGATTCATCCAAAGAATTATAATTGGGCTCTAGGCTCATCTTTTATGAAAGTAAACATATGATACAATAAGTCTTAAGTAACATTCTGGTAGCTGGAAAAATTTTGTTAAAAAAATTGCGCTAAAAAACTTGTGTATAAGTCTTAACAAAATAGTGACCATCATCAGGATCACCAAACTTTTCTTGCTAAAACAATACCCTTGCTAACGTCTCTCAGAAAACAAAAAATAAAAAGGGACATTTTACGCAATATGACATTACAAAGTTACTCAACTTTAAGCGACAAAAATGTCACAACTTACTTCAAGACCAGCAGGTTGCCAAATTGGCAACTTTTGCTACAAATGTAATTGCTATTTTTTTTTTCTTATTCACCACTGCAGCTAAAACATGTTTAAGTTCTGAGCCTTGAATGACTAAGCTAAGAAGAAGTGCTTACAAAAGCACCTTGTTTCACCATAGGAGCACTTGTGTATGGTGGTGGTGGATCCTGATAAGCATAAACTTGTGGTGGGTATGCTGTATACTGGGTATTCCCTGTGCCTGGTATGAATGTGGCTTGACCTGGTGGGGGGTACACAGGGTAGGCAGCAGGTACCCTCATCACACTCTCGGTGACTGTGGTATGCACAGCCTGAGGGGGTCGGACCTGGGCTACAACTACTTGATGTGCGCGACGATAGCGATAGCGATAGTACCACCAAATGATAAAACAAATCACAAAAGTGGCCACAATGCCCGTCCTTTGAATTGAAAACAAATTATTAGGAATTGAGCAATATGCAAAATGTCTTATTTTAATGAAAATATGAACTAACTTTATCTACAAGACAACCTGGAAAATGTTGTCAGGTTCATCCTGTTCATCATTTTGTCAAAGAAATTATGCAATGAGGTAGGTTCAGAATAATTTTGATTTGTACTTACCAGAGGTACCATCTTGTATAAACATATGTACAACAACTTCGAGTTCCACAACAGTATTCATTGTTAGCACAGCTATAGAGCAAAAATTGAAAAAAAAATTAATTCACAGCAAAAAGCAAAAGATCATCATGAATGCTAGCACATTAGGTAAATGTCACTAATTTACATGTTTCTTCCCAATTTAGTCAGTTTTAGTTATCTAAAAGAAGAACAGAAGTGCTGTTGTTAGAGGTCTTTGACTGACATATAAAACATCAAGTGTTTTCAACTATGTGAAAAAAATAGCTGCAAATAGGAGTTATCCATATTCACATTGACTCATATTTTCACTGGTTTGAAATAAACAAATAAATAGAAACAAAACATCAAAGGATATCACATTACTTTATTTCTTTTAAAGTTTACAAATAATGTGAAAAAAATTCAACATTGCCCACCTGTAATAGGTAGTGGTGTACCCGCTGCCATGCCTGTACCTTGAGTATGAACATCTAAGGCCATTGGACTGATACAAAATCATTTAAGAACATTTTCTTGTGAGATTGGACTTCAATGTCGATGAAATGAGGATATTATGTGTAATAATAACATTTATTATACTAATAATGGTGATAACATCAAGAATAATCTTAATTATTGATTATAATGATGATGTTAATGGTTATCATATGATGATGACCAGAACCATAAATATGAGTACAACATGTTGAAACATTCAAAAACGAAAATAATTTTGGAAATTAAATCCTCCACCATAACATACAAAACTTTTACAAGCAATTATTCTTCAGATTTCTGTTGATCATTGCTAAAAGTTTTTTCAATAGACAATGTATACGGTTTTTCTAATAACATCATCTAATCAAAAATAGTGTTTAGGTGACAAATCCCACTCAATTTTGACCAGAAAGACAACAAATAGCGAAACAAGCCTCACAGGTGGTCTGTATTATAATTGAATTGCTAAAAAGAAGCTTGAAAACATTCAGGCTTTGATGGGATTCGAATCTTTGCCCTATAGTCTCTTATAATCTAGAATGATTTGCAGAGAGAAGCGAGACCACACAATCGAAAATTTTGTTTTATCAACTGAAATGATCATGTAAATTGGCCACCGCAAAGAGCTTTTAAAACTTTCTATGGTGGCCATTTAAATTTCATTGTCAACCCGGTTGAAAAACCAAATTGTCTTGTAATACCCCCTACAGTCTCGACGCTACAATTTCTTTAGAAACTTGCCCGCTCTAGTCATCTGTCGAACAATCGATAGTTAAATTTCAGGTTGTTGGGCGCTATTAGGGATCTTGAGCAAACCACGACGGCGACGGCAACGAGGACTGGCGCCGTATGAGACGGTAAACACATGCAGCCATTTTTTAAATTCTAATTGGTAAAGTTTCCGCACAGCCCCATACTCTTGTAAAACAAATCTGTTTTCCTAATGGAAATGTATTGTTTTTGTCATTGTTTTCTCTATTCAAGAACTGAATGCATAATGTAGTATGGGGCTGTGCGGAAATTTTACCTTCTAATTAAAGGCAGAAATTCATTTTTTTAATCCAAGTCCTTCTCAGTGTTGCCGTCCTGACTGCTTTAGGTCCCTAATTACGCAGCTGAACAAATTCAAATCATGCTGCAATAAGTGTGAACTAAAAGCTCGGTAAATGTATCTTAATTGTGAAGATTACCTCAATGAAAACTGTCAGAAATATAAGACAAACGAAAGCGATCTTCATAATGTCAAGCCAACAGCAAACTTGCGAACGCTCTTGTACGGGACAAGACAGGAATGTTACCACTCACTTAGACGCACGTAAGAGGATATTTTTATATGTCACTTCCGCTTTTTTCCGGAATCCCGAACGCATGTCTATCTATTGACCGGATCTTTCCGAAGTTACCCGAGTTGGAACTGACAAGAGATTAGGAAACAACCTGTAGCATTGCATTATGGGTAAATTTTCATCCAATATGTCAGCGCGTTTTTCAGCTTCTGCTCACGAGGCGCAGCAGAGTTTGTCACCGATGTTCATACCATATTTTGATGTCTTCTGTGATCTATTATTATACAGAACCAAGGCAACATAAAATATATTTGTTTTATATGATAAAAAGCAGCATGTTTGATGGTGACATCATCTCTACGTCTGTCCTCCTATAGACGATAAGTAAGAACCAATCAAAATGCTTGTATAATTCAGCTTATCATATATTAGACATTATGATCTCAGCATTTTAATTTATTTTATAGAAAAAAAAAATTAAATATCTTATGTTTGCCCTGGAATGTGCTTGTGATATTTTCAATGAATTTTGCATGGTTGAGCTTAGTTTTCAATCTCTTTTGTGATTTTTCAGTGTCCAGCTAGCAGTTCAAATGCTGCCATGTCAATGCACACACAGGGCACATAAGGAATACATCCTTATAATGCATTATAATCAAAATAATTAAAATTACTTGTCTTATATGAGGATTATCATTAGTATGATAAATGTACTGAAAATTTTGTTTTTGTTGTTTCCTTTTTCCAGCAAAAGAAGAAAATGAGAATCTACTTAACTACAAACTTTTATCTGCCGAGACCAGAGAATGAAGTAAGATATCTTAAAACCTATCCTCAGTTAAGAAGTTGTGATGGTGTTTCTTAGCTGTTAATTTTCCTTACAATGGGATTAATTTGCATGCATCATTTTCATAGCACAGCATGAAATCTACATCATAACACAGATACTTTGCTATGATGGTTTATTTCTGGTACTCTAACATGAATTTGCTGCATGAATATCAAAGAGTCAAGTAGCAATAAATGTATCTAACTCTTCAAACCATTCTTTTGTACACCAGGATGAAAAAAATATTGTTCCTTCACGGAAGCTGAGAATGGAGGGTCATCTTCTAGAGGAAGTACAAGTGTATGATAAAAGTGTGAAATGCATGATACAGTGAAACTCATTTAAACGGACACATGCAGAACCCTTGCTAATTTGTGCTGAAAAGGGGGTGTCCATATGAAACAGCTTCTAGTAAATTGCATAATGATCACAAGCAGTATTTCAGATTGTGACAGAGTAAAACAGAAATTTAATTCACATCTTTGATGGATCAAATGTTCTAAGCCTTTTTTGTCCTATGTAAGCTCTGTTACACCAGTTTCCTGAAATGAAATGCAATTAAAGATATAGTGTGAAACAAATTAAGATACATTTAGCACTGTCAAAGTCTGTGGAGTTCAATGTACTTCATTAATACATACCACTATATTAAATTGTATCACGTAAATGAAGATCAGTGGACCTGAGTTTGAATATTGAAGTTTTGAATACACTGTTAACTGAGAGATGTTCAAACTCTTAAGTGAAACCTCTTCAAGTGTCTGCCTAATATGCCTGTAGATTTGGGTTGTTCGATTTTAGAGTTTACATTAGCTCATCATGTGAGTATACTGAATATAGGTTGGTTTTCTGGAAAAATTTAGAATGTTAATTCTGGGTAGCAAGTTGGTGTATGTTTTATACAGGTTTCACTGTACAAAGTAAATGTTTGCCTGAATTTACTAAAATGGTTTTGTTCCATGCACACAGATGCAGGCTTTTAAGACTGATGGTCCAAGACAGAAACAAAAGTTCTCAACATATTTCAAGAGACTTGTGATAGAGTTGGACAGGGAGTTTTATTTTCTTTATGGACAACTGACCACAAAGAAGGAAGATTTAAAGGATTTGATGGCAGATTAATGATTGTTTGGAAATTAGTGAATTGAAGGATGTATTTTCCTTATCAACAGTGGTTGGCAAGGAAAATGAACCTGGCCAGACTTGGATTTTTAGACCAAGTTGTCAAAGGGTTGGTTTTGAGATTTGGAGAATGGTAGACTTCTTTTCCTGTATGTCTTCTTATAGAAAAAAATATACATGCACTTATAATTAAGATGTGTGAAAATTAATTCTGAATTGTCACTTATCACCAAATATAAACTATTTTTAATGGCTAATTTGATAACTGATTACAGCTACATTTACTATTTATCAGTTGTTACTCACTTCATATCTCATAAACATGCTTAAAATATCTATATCTTAATAACCAAAAATAGTTGAACACCTTTTAAGTAGAGTACTATAAATATCTTAATAATACAGTGTATTAAAAGTAGTATATAAAAAAATAGTGTATAAAAAGAAGTAAAACTCTGGTAGCTGGAAAAATGTTGTTAAAAAATTGTGATAGAAAACTTGTGTAATAGTCCTAACAAAATAGTGTCAAGTAGCAAGTCAAAGCCATAACCAGCTTTTTGCATGAATCACATGCAATATATTTGACAATGTTTAGTAAATTTAAAGTAAAACAACGCACCGTTGAGCGTAAAAAATGCGTACTGGTAATGCATATGCATGGAACACAATAGATGATGAAAAATCAATGATGTTTGACATCACTTCATATATCGTAAACATGCCTAAAATATCTATATCTTCGTATCCAGAAATAATCTAACACCAAATTGGCAACTTTTGCTACAAATTTAAGTGCTAATTTTTTTCTTATTCACTACTGCAACTAAAACATGTTTCAACTCTGAGCCCTGAATGACTAAGCTAAGAAGAAGTGTTTACAAAAGCATTTTGTTTCACCACAAGAGGTGGAGGGTACCCAGGGTAACCAGCAGGCACCCCCATTGTGTTCTCAATGAATGCATGGCCTCAGCGGGTTGGACCTGGGTAACAACTACTTGATTTGCACGACGATGGTGATAACGATGACAAAATTCCTGGCTTTTCGACAAACTTTGGTCCTAAACGAAATTTGCGCGACATTTCGGCAAATTTTCGAGGTAGCTATTGTTTGGATTCATCCGTAATTTCACGGATCAATGGAAACGTTAATGAGTCTCTAACTTTGCACTTCATCGTCCACGCAAACACCATGTTTGCAGGCTATGTTTATGAAGGCTAATTAATTCATAACAAAACACATGGACTTTCCTGCCATAATCCAGTCTCCAACCAAACTGCCTCAAGTGACAAAACATTGTCAAGTCCTTCGTTTCGAAACGCTAGTCAATCGGATTAATTTCTCTCAACATTTAGCATTCATGTTGACAATTTCAGACTAAACAAGGAGTTGCACTGAGCGCCCTCCAATTCCTTCATCAAGCTAAATATTTAAAGAAATCATCGCCGCTGAGATTCACCGATGCCGAAAATGGAAACAAACACGTTTGCAAATCTCGTTCTGAAGTTTGCTTCTCGTCCATTTTCAATGAATGCAGCGCATCAAGCCAAGAAAGGATGGTCTAAACCAAGAAATTTTTAATAGGAGAGCATACATACAAATATTTGTTTGGAAGGACGTTGAACTACGGTGGCGATGAATTAAACAATAGATCGGGTCGAGTTCGAAAGCAAATCGGCTAGCCTACGTGTAGCCATACCCTCCCCTGAAACGGAGGCGAGGGGAAGGAGTGCCCTCGCTTCCGTTTCACCTTGGGGGGAGGGTACGGGCTACACGCACGCTACAAAGCGGCCAGAAATATCTTACTGCAAGACATACCTTACTTGGGAAACTTATCTCTCGTATTCTTGTGAAATAAATGCTTTCGATTACAAAAAAGTGAGTGTGGAAAAAGAAATACGTGTGTTTATCCTTACACTTCCAGAGTCATAAGAATCAGTCGCTAGCACTTGACGCCGTGACGCCACGACTTCAAAGGTCGCGTCTTAGAAATTAACTCAAGAGTGGAAAAACTGTAGATGTTATTCAGAAATATTTAAGTCAAACTAAGGAATGAGACCGCATTAACCACTGCAAAACGATGCAAAGCTCGTAACTTCAAATTTCAACTCGAAGAAAAGAGAGGCAAGGGTGACTTTATCGACCACGTGAGAACGAAGGTGGGCTCTAATCAAAACACGATGAACGCAGTTCGCACGAGCGTTCGAAACCCGAAGTTCCGTGCCAAGAGCATTTAGTCTCTTGTTTTGTGCCTAGCACATGAATTGAAGATCAAGCATGTCGCGCTGAGAATTATTTTGTATTTCCCAAGCTTTTCATAGCGAACTTTTGTTCGGTAACGAAAATTCGAAGAAACATCGCTCTTTCTTCCGACGAAGTGACGCGAAGAGCAAGCGAGAAACTTCACGAACTTTCGCACGAAAGTTCGATGAATTTTCGAAGGAACAATCAACAAAATTCGGCGATTTTTGTTTGCATTACTATTGCACAATACTGCATGAGTACAATATGTTGAAACATTCAAAAACGAAAATAAATTGGAAATTAAGTCCTCCACCATAACATACCAACTTTTACAAGCAATTGTTCTTCCGATTTCTGTTGATCATTGATGAAAGTTTTTTTAATAGACAATGGACATGGTTTTTCTAATAACATCATCTAATCAAAAATAGTGTTTAACTGCAATAAATCCTACTTAATTTAGACCAGCAAGACAACAAATAGTGAAACGATCCTCAGAGGTGGTCTGTATTTGATTGAATTGCTAAAAAGAAGCTTGAAATTTTCAAGTTTTGACGGAATTCGAGCCTTTGCCCTATAGTGTCTTATAATCTAGGATTTGAAAGCACAAATGATTTGCAGAGAGAAGCGAGACCAAACAATCGAAAAATTTGTTCTATCAACTAAGATTATCATGTTAATTTGCCACTGCAAAGAGCTTTTGAAACTCTCTTTGGTGGCCAATTAAATTACGTTGTCAATCCAGTTAGAAAACCAAATCATCCCTTAATACCCCCCACTGTCTCGACGCTACAATTATTTAGAGACTTTCCCGCTTTTTTTATCTGTCGAACAATCGATAGTCAAATTTCAGGTTGTTGAGCGTTAATTACGCAGCTGAATCAATTCAAATTATGCTGCAATAAATGTGAACTAAAAGCTCGGTAAATGTATCTTAATTGTGAAGATTACCTCAATGAAAACTGCCAGAAATATAAGACAAACGAAAACGATCTTCATAATGTCAAGCCAACATCAAACTTACGAACGTTCTTGTACAGAACAACACAGGAATGTTGCCACTCACTTGAACGCACTTAGGAAGATATTTTTTAGATATCACTTCCGCTTTCCTCCGGAACCCCAAACGCTTGTTTAGCTCTTGATTGGATCTTTCCGAAGTTATCCGAGTTTGAACTCCCGAAAGATTCCGAAACAAGCTGTAGCATTGCATTGTGGGTAACTTTCTTCATTCAATATGGCGGCGCGTTTTCCTGCTTCTGCTTCAATGCAGAAAATGGCAAATAACCCGCAGCAGTCCTCCATATATCAGCGCTCTCAGTTCCAACAATCACCATATGGAATTTCGGTGAGTTATTTACTATTTGATTCCTTTTGCTTTCCTTTAAACCGATAACATCACATTGACTATAAAACACGAATTAAAATCTTTCTGAAACAAGCACGAGGACGATCATGTCTGTTTCCAAAGCTTTGTTTCCATTTGATCGTTGACGATTTCTGTTGATTGCTGAAAGTTATAAGGAAACCCTTTTACCGATCGGCAGCGATGACAAGGAAACCAAGTTTTGGAGGACACTTTTTTGAAAATCAACGAATGGTAGCACAAATAAGTTCCGATTATGAGTTTTCAAGTTGTTCAAATCCACTTCTTTTTCTTACAAGTAGATTCCATGTTGCCGAGAGTCTGTTCAGTAATAGAACACAAAATGAAAAAGTGGTTCATGAGGCGCAGCAGAGTTTATCACTGATGTTCTTACCACATTTTGACGTCTTCTGTGACCTATTACTGTACAGATCCAAGGCAACTTAAAATCTATTTGTTTAAATGATATATTGATAAAAAGCAACATGTGTTTGATGGTGACATCATCTCTGTGTCTCCTCCTAGAGATGATTTGTAAGAACCAATCAAAATGCATGTATAATTCAGCATATCATACACTTTATATTATGGTCTCAACATTCATGATAAAAAATATAAATTGAATATCCTATGTTTGCCCTGGAATGTGCCTGTGATATTTTTAATGAATTTTGCATGGTTGAGTTTAGTTTCAATCACTT